TTTTCTTTTTGCTTATGTGGTGCTGAGGAATCGAACCCAGGGCCTCAGGCATGCAAGGCAAGCGCTCTACCACTGAGCCACCTTCCCAGCCCCAAGCACCCTAGTTCTCAATGGACCCTCTTCCTCCATGCCATCCATGTGCTTCCCCTGAGCCAGGGTGATCTCATTTCCCAGCTAAAGTCTGCTCTGGTTAACTCAAGAAACAAAGACAGAACTTCAATCAAGTTCAAAGCTTTTAGCCCAAGAATAAATCTCCAAAAAATGATTTCAGGCAACAGAAAGTAAGACAGCATATTTCCTTTGGGCACGAGACTTTCACTGCCAACTATGCCTATTTAAAGTTTATTCTACTTTGATATTTTAGTAGAAAATAGATTCAAATGATGCTGCAGTTAGATTTAGCCACCTTGTGGTACAGTGGAAGTGTTTCAGTCTAATTGGTTTGGGACTAAAAGCAATTTAGTTCCGAAAGGATTGTGTGTCGCAGATTCAACAACTAACTTCGGGTGAATTGGTTCAATCTGGCCTTTTCATTCTTTCCTGTATTTTATCAAATTTAATGTAATTTTCAAAGGAAATACAAACTCCATTTTATATACATTTGTAGCCAGCACAAATCAGTCTAACCAAAAAGTTTCACGCAACTGTGCTCTGGAAGCGTGGTGAGGGTTGGCAGGCGTCACCCCGCCATTCTGTCACAGTCTATCCCAGCTTACGCTTTAAATTCTTTTCAGGGGCCTCTAAAAATATCTGACTCTTGAAATTGTACTGGTTCTCCAGAATGAAAACTGAAATGAACAGATACTGGATGGAATCCCTACAAATCAAAACATTCAATCAACTGGCAACTGCTCAATTATTATGTCATTATATATACATTATATTTGATGTGGGAGGTGAATTTATTTTAATAGGTTTGATGTGATGTGAGACTGGGTCTTCCACAAGGAAGTGCTCCTGGAGTCACTCAGGATCTTATAGGTCAGCCGTGCATAGCAGAGGTTTGAAAATCTGGGTCCAAGGGGAAAAATAAGGAATTGTTTCTCCAGAGTCTCTAGACATAAAATGGAGGCTGTGGTTTAGGAAGGAGATGCAATGTCCTCTTTCCAAGCAACAACATGAGGTTAGAGACCAAAGTGCACAGAGACCAAAGTGAGGAGGATATTCTGGAGAAACCACAGTAGCTGGGGTTATAGTCATGGACCACCATGCCCAGCCCAAGGAAATTCATTGGCATGCCACTTTAGAAGGGTTAGGAAACTCAAGGTGTGCTTCAGAGTCAAGAAAAGGATCCCCAAATACCTCAAAAATCTAGGTACGAGCAAGACTTGTGCTTTACGAAGGCAGGTGTGGAAATCTGGAGCGAGGATTGTAGGGGTGAGCTGAGTACTACCCCCTATGATAGAGCTGCCTCTCTCCCCTCTCCCCACACACGCTCCGCCTTTCTCTACATACACACCAAACTAGTCTTCAAGAATATCTGCTTGAAGGGACACACACATTGTTAGCGTCCAACATCACCCACAGGTCTGCAGTTAGTTCAGCCCTTCATACCTCAAGGTCATAGCCAATGCCATGGGCCTTACACATCTGAAATAACACATAGTAGAAAACTAGCGAGAGATTGCTGTGCTTCAGCTGGGTGGTCATCACTGCGTAACGACTGGTTGCCAACGACTGGAAAAGATCAAAGTGAAAGTTAGGCTCTTAAAGAAAAACATTTAACATTTAACATTGTGTGTGTGTGTGTGTGTGTGTCTGTCTGTCTGTGTGTGTGTGTGTGCTGGTACTGGGGGCTTCAGCTAAGAGCTTTGTGCTTTTCTGTAGCCTTTTCATTCAAAACTGGCTTCCTACCACTTGAGTCATACCGCCTCTCTCAGCTTCTTACTGATTACTAAGATGTACAGATCTCTTGGATTTGCCTGCCTGGTTTGGCTTCAAATCAGGATCTTCAGATTTTTAGCTTCCTGAGTAGCTACAATTATAATTGCGAGCCACCCACTAAATAAGCTTCTACCTTTAGGATAGTTATAGATTAGCAGAACAGTTACAGAGATAATAATGAGAGTTCCCATTGTAGTAAGGAAACTCAGTTGTGAGAAACAGAAGCCACCACTTAAAGGGCCAAATTATGAGTTTATTGAAGAGCCAGAGGACTGCTGGTGGACTCACATCCTTACTTCACCCTAACCTTTCATTAACATTTGACTGAGCTGTGGGACATTTGTCACAACTAAGAACCAAACTGCTGTATTATATTAAGTTCACACTTCATTTAGATTTCATCTCATTAATATTTTCCAGGTCTCCTTTTGTGTTCTAGTGCCTTAGTTTCCTCTGGGCTGTGACAGTTTCTCAGACTCCCCTATTTTTGGTGATCTCGACAATTTTTTTGAGGGGGTTCATCCTGGGGCTTGAACTCAGGGCCTAGGCATTGTCCTTAAGCTTTTTTGTTCAAGGCTAGTGCGCTATCACTTGAGCCCTGACTCTACTTCCAGTTTTATATTGGAGATGAGTCTCGTAAACTTTCCTGCCTGGGCTGGCTTCAAACTGAGATCCTTAGATCTCAGCCTCCCAAGTAGCTAGGATTACAGGTGTAAGCTGCAAATGACAAGTTTGAGGAGTACTGGTCAGGAATTTTTTGAAACGTCCCTTGCTTTGAGGGACTGATTTTCTCATGTTTGGGAGAAGACCACATAGCCAATCTGCCATTTGCATCAAAGGTCTGTGCTATTTTAGACTCTTGCATGTTGGATGTCTCTTAAAGGTCCCTGTGTTGGTTTGGTCCTTACCACATAGAACCTGTAGGAGGTTCCTTAGGAGGGGAAGCTGTAAGGAGGGGACTTCATGGAAGTTATCAGGTCACTGGCTGTATGACCTGGAAGGGAATGATGGAGCCTAGACCTCTGTCTCCTGGCTAATGATGGTTTTGCTCTGCCACGTGCTCCCTGGTATGGATACCCATCACTTCCACAAAGTAATTGAGTCATTTGGTTACCAGTTAGAATCTCCAAAACCGTGAGTGGAACAAATGAAGTTGTTGTTTGTTATTTAGGTTAATTACCGTAAGTATTTTGTCATTGTAAGAGCTGACATCAAGGATTGTGACATGACTTGGTATTGATGATATGCTTTCCCCTTTCCCTACTATACTTTTTTGGAAACAAGGCACTAAACATAGCCCACATTCTAGAGGTGGATAGCTTTAGAACTTTAATGCAAACTGCTTTCTTTGTTTAGGAAACTGCTATTTTTTTTTTTTTTTGTCGGTCGTGGGGCTTGAACTCTGGGCCTGGGCGCTGTCCCTCAGCTCTTCAGCTCAAGGCGAGCGCTCTACCACTTGAGCTACAGCGCCACTTCCGGTTTTCTGGTGGTTTATTGGAGATAGGAGTCTCACGGTCTCTCCTGCCCGGGCTGGCTTTGAACCGCGATCCTCAGATCTCAGCCTCCTGAGTAGCTAGGATTGTGAGCACTATCCCAAAGAGATTGGTTACAGTAGGCCCAAAGAATTTTACTCATCTATTTCCTAAAAAAAAACATTGCGCATAAAATGAAGTATTGGATCCTAATGGCTTTGTAGCCTGCCATTTGTTGTGTATGATATTTACCTTTGACAATCAGCTGTCTCTCCTGGGATAGCTAGAAATTTGAAGAACTGCAGATAGGTCTATGGACAATGCTAGGCTATTTGAAATAAAGGTTCCTAGTCAAGACCTGGAGTTTTGGGGGATCTTCAGGTGCTAGAAAATTAGATGGTTGGACTTGCATAGTGATTTGGACTAGAGAAGGCAGAGGAGGTGAGGCTGGCTGCGGGAAACGCTAGCATCTTGACATTAACCCTGTAGTGAAATTTCAGGTTCTGTCTCTGAGGTCTTCAGGGAGCTGGGGCTAAGTGACAGCAAAGAATGGACATCATTTCTCCATCTGTATTTCTCTCTCCTTGTCTCTGTCTGTCTGCCTCTCTGTCTGTCGGTCTGTCTGTCTGTCGGTCTGTCTGTCTGTCTCTCACACACACACACACACACACACACACACACACACACACATTTGACTCACTTTTGTGGCATAATTCCCCCACATGCAGTGTTTTCATCAAATGCTGAATCTGAGGGTCCTATTGGGGACCACTGTAAGGTGCTCTTCCCACAGGCAGTCAGAATCTGTGTCTATGAAAACATAAAGAACCCCAGGGGGCTAATGCATCTTGAGATGTGTTAGTACTGAACCATTTGTAACCATTGTGGTGTTATCATTATTTTTATTTTTTGGGTCCGGTCGTGGGGCCTGTACTCTGGGCCTGGGCGCTGTCCCTCAGCTCTGCAGCTCAAGGCTAGCGCTCTACCACTTGAGCCACAGCGCCACTTCCTGCTTTTTTCTTTTTGCTTATGTGGTGGTGAGAAATCAAACCCAGGGCCTCAGGCATGCAAGGCAAGCGCTCTGCCACTGAGCCACCTTCCCAGCCCTGTGGTGTTATTTTTAACTGATACACAAAATAATAAAGCTGACCAGGTACCCATGGCTCACACCTGTAGTCATAGCTACTCAGGAGGTAGAGATCTAACAATTGACATTCAAAGCCAGCCTGGACAGGAAAGTCTATGAGGCTCTTATCTCTAATTACCCACCAAAAAGCTGGAAGTGGAGCTGTGGCTCAAGTGGTAGAGCACTAGCCTTGAGCAAAAAAAAGAAGAGTTGGCTGGGAATGTGGCTTAATGGTAGAGTGCTTGCCTAGCATGCATGAAGCCCTGGGTTCAATTCCTCAGTACCACATAAACAGAAAAAGCTGGAAATGGCACTATGGCTCAAGTGGTAGAGTGCTAGCCTTGAGCAAAAGAAGCTCAGGGACAGTGCCCAGGCCCCAAGTACAAGCCCTAGGACTGGCAAAACAAAATGAAGAAAAACAGGCATGGATGAGGTCCTGGGTTTGATTACTCAGCACCACATAAACAAAAAGAAAAAATCCGGAAGTGGCGCTGTGGCTCAAGTGGTAGAGCGCTAGCCTTGAGCTGAAAAGCTGAGGGACAGTGCCCAGGCCCAGAGTTCAGGCCCCACGACCGTGGCTCCCCTTGCCCCCCCAAAAAAGGAAGAAAAGTTAAGGGATAATGCCCAGGTTCTGAGTTCAAGCCCCATTACTGGCATATAGAAACAAACAAAAACCATAAAGCTGTACATACTAACAGGGTATGGATATGTTGCATACTGTGTAATGTTTAAATATGTGCACATTGCATAATGAGTAAACCAAATTGCAAGTATTAATTGCCTCAAACACTTATCACTTATTTATGGCAAAGACTTACTTTATTTCTGGCTTTTTGAGGGATAAAATACATTCCTGTCTCCTGTGTCACCCTGTAAACAGCGCCACCGCTTCTTGCCCCGGTCTCCCTGTAACTTAATACCACTGACCAACCTCTTTCTCCTGACCTTCTCTCTTTGACCCTTCTACGTTGTACAGCCCTAAACTGTTTCCATCCTATCCTGAGTTGTTCCTCTGATTGTCTCCCCATTATGACTAGGGATTTTCTGGGGTCAGCCCCTGCTCTGTTTCTGAATCTCCAGGTACCTAGGCACAGTGTTACCATAGCACAGACCTTCAGAGTCTGTGAATAAATACAACTAATTAGGTGGAGAGCCCTTCCTCTTTTTTAAATTTGTCTGTGTGTGTGTATGTGTGTGTGTGTGCACGCGCGCGCATGTGTGTGTACCAGTACTGGGGATTGGAACTCAAGTCCCAGGCACTGTCCCTTAGCTTTTTCTGCTGGTGCTCTAGCACTTGAGCCACAGCTCCACTTGCAGCTTTTTGGTGGTTAATTGAGAGAAGAGTCCCATGGATTTTCCTGCCAGACTAGCTTTTTTTTTTTTTTTTTTGTCTGTTGTGGGGCTTGAACTCTGGGCCTGGCCCAGACTGGCTTTTAATGTGGATCCTCAGATCTCAGCCTCCAGGGTAGCTATGATTTCAGCCATGAGCCACAGGGTTCCTGGCTAAGTCCTTCCTTCTGACTTAAGAGACTTCAAAGCCATAAGAGCTTAGGGACTGTCTGTGGATATGTGCTTTGGGGTAGAAACAGGTAAGTTTCAAAGCATCACACTAGCCCCCAGGGGATGACAAGGCAGGACAGTCCCTCTAGGCCTTGAGACCAAAAGGACAGTGTGACTAGTTAGAGTGACTAGAAGCAGTTAGGAGAAGCTCTGGATGTCTGGCTAGAGAGTCTGGAGGGGTATGACCGTCAGCTCTGCCTAACCCACCATGTGATGCTCCGGTCCCAGAAGCCTGAGCCTTGGCACTTGGGGTGAACTGTAAATACTTTGGAATTCCGTGTAGCAACTGAGCATGTAATTACATGGTAATTGCCATGAATTCACAAGATAATTCCAAGGTTATTTTTGCTCTCTAAACTTGTCTTCTGCTGCCATAGTAGATAAGTAAAGCATAGATCAAGTCCCAGTTAGCAAGAGAGGCCAGGCAGGCACCCAGTAGCAGGGTCCCCCTTCGGTGCTGTGGATGGAGGCCACAAATGCCAGCATGAGAGCTCACTGTCCTGCAGTACATGATTCCAAGACATTAGTAAGGATGGGATGCCTTGAGGTCTCTACTTCTCTGTTGATCCCAGACCTAAGCTTATAATTCATAAGGAATCTGAAAGAAGAGTCAGGGTATTTGGTATATCTATCAG